GGTACATTAGTCCATGGAGGAAAAATAAATACATATATCAGGAGCTGTTAGCACCTTTTCCAAGTAACAAATGACAGCGGAAGAAGGCAGGAGATGGGAACTGTGTCCCAGGAACGGAAGGAGGGAAGCCCTTGAATCCTCAAAGAGTACCAAGATCTACGTCAGGAAACTGAATCTCATTAAGGGCCACATGGTGTTTGACCTGAGGGGGCAGGGTGGGCACGGCCAGGGTAGGTGTGGCCAGCTTGATGTCATTCATGTCGGGGGCACCTGTTGTGGTCCGAGCATTCTGCCAGCAAAAATGGGCCCGTTTTCGGCTGTGATCACCTCTTGCAACCCGCTGCCAGCGAAAATGGAACTTGGGTGGGCCTCACATGTCCCCCCGGGCTTTGTTTTCACTGGCAGAGGCACCATGGGCTGGTCCTTTACTGTTTCCAGGGTGGCCCCATCGGTCAGATCTAAGCACCCCACCCCATGCCGATCTGGCCCTTGGGCCTTGAGTTTGGCACCCCTGTTCTATGCGATATATTTAGTGAAAAGGGGTTGGATGCAGTCCCATCCCACCAGCCCACTGTCTTTTCCATGGAAATTTTCCCAAACCCAAGCTATATTCAATGACCCCTAGAGAACTGGGCAAGGTAGAGACTTTCATCGACAAATAATCTAGAATGAGGGTTCATTCAACCAGCCCGACTCTGGGAAGCCATCCCAGATCCTTGGTTCTGTTCTGAGAACAGAAAGATGGTCCCTTTGCCTGTGTGTGGACTGTAGAGAGTTAAAAGCTGTCTGTGTGGGAAATGTTTGCCCCCTGCCCTTAATGAAAGACATGCTGGCCCATCTGGCAAAAGGGAAAATTTTCACAAAGCTAGTCTACTGTGAGAAGCATAGAAGATCAAAGAGGGAGATGAGTGGAAGACAGTGTTCAACTGCCCCTTAGGGTGTTTCCAGTTCAGACCCCTCCTATATAGATGCAAGGAGCCCCTGCAGTCCTCATGCAACTGATAAATGAGGTGTTGCACGAACGTTTATACAAAGGAGTGCTGATATATTTAGATGACATTTTAATCTGTACCGAAACTATGGTGGAGCAGGTCCAGCTGGTGTGGGCAGCACTAAAGAAACACCATGCTACTCAGCGATACACTAAACTTTCTAAATGTGTGTGCCATCGAAGCAAGATTGACTACTTGGGTTACCGAATATCCCATAAAGAGATAGAAATGGACCCAGAGAAAGTCTGTGCAGTACTGGACTGGGCTCCACTCTGCACCAGGAAACAACGGCAGAGGTTTTGAGGATTTGCAAACTTCTGTCAGTAATTCATCCCCTCATTTGCACAAATCGCTTTCTACATCACGAATCTGATAAAAACAAAAGCCGCTCCAATGGATATTGACTGTCAAGCGGCATTTGAAAAAATTTAAATGCCTGTTTGCAGTCAAGCCAGTCCTTAAAGCATCCAGACCCAAATGTTTCTTTTGTCATCCAAACTGATGCCAGCAATGTGGGTGTGAGGGCAGACCTCCTAGAAAGAAACCAGGAGGGGACTCTTCAACCATGTGCCGACACATCCCCCAAACTCACCAACGCTGTGTGATGGTGGACTGTGTGGGAAAAGAGATGTATACAGTGTAATGGGCATTACTTACATGGAGCACTTCTTGATGGTGGCGAAGGCTCCTTGCGAGGTTTGGATAGACCACAAAAATATAGAGCCCCCTCAAGAGGATAAACAATTTTATAAAATTTGGGATCTTTTCTATCAATGGTTAGATAATAAAATACAGTAATGAAATATGTAGACTTTTAGAAAATAATAAATATATAAAGATGTACTTCTTTCTTATTATATCTACAAAATGATTTTAGGATAGATTTTGGATGATAATATGAACTGTTATAAAATAAACTAAGTAAATTATGATTATCTTGTAAAACATGAATGAATAAAAGTATAGTCAAATGATTGATTAATAATGATACCAAGGTATTTAATTTTTGATTGAAAATATGAGATTATATGCAATGTAATGGAAGCACAAAACAATTTGTAACCAACCGGCACACTGTATGTACACATATAGAAGATGGCTTGATGTTTTTATGTTTTGTTTGTTTGTTTTTAAAAACTAATAAATTTTTTAAAAAATATAGAGAGAGAGCCCCTAACCCTCACCTTGAAAGCTGTTGCCTAAATAAGTCCGATGGGTGCAATACTTCAATAGCTTCAATTTCACTCTGAAATACCCCCCAGGGGGTGGGGGGGAAGATTCCTAGCTGATGCACTGGTAGGATGACTTAGTATAATAGCTCTTAATCCAGAAATAGTCAGACCAGTCACCCCTTCCCACCAGCTAGCAGCCCCAGTAACCATCAGGGCACAAACAAAAACGAGGGAACCAAAAACTGAAGCCCCTTATAAAAGGAACCCCGGAGGGAGATTAACGGTTCCAGAAACATAAGAATGAATGCACCATGAGAGATGGTTTGGCTTGGGTGGGAGCTAAATTGTATATCCTGAAAAGCTAATTCTAGAGACAAGCTTTATAACCACGGGACATTTCAGGTTCATAAAAATGCTCCATTTGGCTGGAAAAGGACATTAAAGGGTACGTGGCAAGCTGCCAAATATGTGCCTCAGCCAAACGACAGCAAGAGAAAACTCCAGGGCTCCTTTGGATAGGAGTGGAGCCTAGCACTCCATGAAAAGAAATCTCCACGGACTTCATTGTAGAACTCCCTGAGAGCTGGATATATGGTGATCGGGTCGTAATGGACCTACTCTCCAAACAAGTACATTTTGCAGCCTGCCAAAAGATCCCATCTGCCTTGGCTAAACTTTTCATTAAACATTGTCTATAGACTGTATGGGGCTCCACCACTCAGATTGTAGATCCAATTCAGCTTGAAGTTTTGGCAGCAGTTTCTGGGACTTTGGGGGACCTCCCAGGAACTAAGCTCTAGTCACCACCTCCAAACTAATGGGGTATGTGAGCAAGCTAATGGGGTTCCATCACAGCACCTCAGGTGTTAGGTAAGCTACTAGCAAGGCAACTGGACGGAGCACCTTCCATTTGCTGAAGTTCTGTCCATAGCTGCGCAGGCTTCAACCCATTCAAGGTGGCCACAGGCCAAGACTTTGCCTCAATACCAGAATTACCCGTGCCCCTCCCATCACCTCTCTCAAAGACTGGTTGATCCAATTACAAGACATCTGGCCAGTAGTTAGAAAATTGCTAGAAGAGGCAATATAAAATATATTGCTATAAAAAGCAAGCTAACAAAAAATGCATGAAGCCTAAGGACTTTAAGAGGAGATCAGGTCCATCTGTCTACCAAGTACTTGCAATCCAGGTAACCCTCAAAAAAAGGAAACAGAACCCAAGTATGTTGGATCTTTTCCCATTAAATGCCTGATTAACTCCCCAAATCACTCAGGCGGATCTACCCGATTTTCCACTGCAATCTGCTGAAACCTGAGGGGCTTTTCCCGCTGCATCCAGGACGACCCACCTGAGCCTCTCCTGATCGAAGGGGAGCAGCATTTCAAAGTCAAAGACAATCTGGATTGCTGCAAACACTGAGGGAATATCCAATACCTGGTGGCACGGAAAGACTTTTCTCCTTCCATATTTACTTCCGCAGGGGGTGGACTTTCAAGTTGTTAAAGCTGTGAAACTCCTTAAATGCTTCCACAACCAACACTCTGGCAAACCAAGATGATCTAACCCTGGTTAGATCACTCTTTCCCTCCCTTCCTCTCACCCCTTCTCTCTTCCTTTGCAAGACTTATGTCCTTGTCAAGGGGGGCAGCCTGTCAGGATCTCCATCATCAGCCTGGCGCCTTGCTGGGTTCCTGCCATCAAAAGGGAAAGGAGGAAGGGGGCGTTGGAGGCAATCCACACCTGTGTATCTAATGGTGGTAAATAGGGAGGTAGTGGTGGAGAATGGAAGGGAGAAATGTCACTTTTTTCAATAATGTAACTGAAAGGTCACTAAATGAATGGTTGTAAGTCGACTACATACAAAGCATTTGGAAGAGTGTGGTGTTTGTAGTTCAATCTACAAGTGTTCACTGGGCAGAGCAATTGAACAAAATTGAACTGTGAGTGTAGGACAAACAGAAAAACAACTATCACTTGCCCTCTTTGCCCATAAAGCTTTCCAAAATGAATTCAATCGGACCTCAGATCTTTATGAAAGCCACAACAATGTTCTGCCCTCTTTGGAAATGTTGCACTCGACTAGCTCTTGCGAATCCTTTGGTGCAGAAGCAAAGAATAGCGGAAGAGTCCCTGGCTCTTCACAGGACTCCAAATTCAGGGTTAACTAAGCAATCACAAGTTCTTGGGCTTCTCTTGAGCCACAACAGGTGGCCACAGTTTAACCCTGGGAGATGCTCACCCAGCAAATTGTCACATCCAGTTTTTAATGTCAGTCCTGCTCTAGTACGTGAGTGGGAACAGCAGCGATGCACAAGAGTTGCCCCTCAACTGGAGCTGGGTGAGAGCCAGCTCTTTCTCAATGAGGACTTGTAGATTCGGTAGGCTTTGGAAATCTTGGGTGATGCACATGCCGGTCAACCCTCCTTTGGCGAAGTTGAGACTTCCTCCCAGTAAATATCCGCCGCTCCCCCGATTGTATTGAAAGGCGCTTTCGCTGCGGTCCCGCTGGGTAATAATTGCGGGAGCTCCGGAGGGCTGAGTGGTGGCCGGGCGCCCTTCTCTGCCCCGGGCGGCGGAGGACCGACTGGCCTCCGGGCCTTTCCAGGAAAGCCCTGCACGAGACCGGGGGTTTGGGGGCATTTTTCAGTTGCAGCCGGAAAAGAGGCGGTTCCAACCACGCGGCTCCTCGAGCATCGCTCCAGCCGTTTTTGGCAGAGATTTGCCCCGACCCGTTATTCGGCCGCCGTCCGCCTCCTGAAGCTCGGCCCGGCCACTCGGTCAGAGGCGACGGGAGCCAGGCCGCTTCCCCCGCCAGCATCGGGCATCGGCCTCGCATCAGGCCGGTGGGCGCAGCAAAGCCCGGGCAGGGGAGGCGAAAACGGCGGGCGGGCCGGACTCCAGCGGGCGTGGGGAGCCACCGGCCCGACGGGGACCCGGCGGATGTGGGCAGGGCGCCGGCGGGCGTCCTGGGGGCGGCGGGGAGGGCCGCGCCAGCCGGACGGGCGCCAGGCCGGGCGGGGCAGCGGCGCGGGGCGCCCGGCGGGACCGAGGAGGGGCGCGCGCGGCCAGGCGGCGAGCGGCGTGCGCGCTTGGCTCCTGCTGCGCTCGCTGCGTTGCCCCTTTAATTGTGTCCCCGGCCCTCGGGCGCCTCTCTCCGCCGCCCACGTCAGCAGCCACCTTTGTTTCTCTCCGGCCGGGCTGCGGGGCGGCGGAGCCCGCGACGCTCCGCGCCGTCACCCCCGCCTCTCCCTCCTTCCATCCGCCCCACCGCCCGCCCGCCTCCGGAGCCGCAGCCAGCCCTGCCCTGCCTTCGCCGAGCGGTAAGTCTCGCAGCAGCCCGGGCGAGCAGGGCGTCGGGTGGGCTGAACGCGCTCCGCGGCCTCTGCCTGCCTCGCCCGCCCGCGCCCGCCCGGCGCCCCCACCGCCCGGCACCCAGGCGGCCCCGGGGGGCGGGCGGGCGCCATTTGCTGCTGTCGCCGCCCCGGGCGCGGCGCTCGCTCCTCGCAACAAAGGGCGGCGAGGCCGGTGCTGCCGGGCGCGGCGCTGGGAGACGGGCGCCGGGGGCGCTTGCGGACCGGGCACCGAGCGGCGGGGGGAGGGCGGGGCCTGCCGCATCGCCACCAGCGCCGGGCGGCCAAAGATCCGGCGGGCGAGAGCGAGGGAGCGGGGCTCCCCCCGCACCCCGTGAACCTCCCGGGGCTCCCGCTCCGGCGCCGCTGCCTTGGCGGGCTCCCGACGGCCGAGCAGCCAAATCGGAAGAGCGGGCAAATACTGACGGCGCCCTCTGCCAATGCGCCGCCGCGCTCCCTCTCCGGCCGGGCTGGCCCGTCGCTGCCCCAGCTGCCCGCTGGGCGCTCGCTGCGGCGGCGGGCGGTTAGGCGTCCGCAGGCGGCGCGGCTTCCTTCGGCCCCCGGGCGGGCGCGGCGCGGGAGCTTCCTCAGCGGCCGCGCTGGGCCGTCCTCGGAGCGCACCTGAAGGGCGGGGACCCTCCGGCCGCCTCAGCTCTTCGCGCTGCCCTTCACGGCGCCGAGCAAATGGCGGTTTGCGCGCCGCGCCCCTCTGCCCGCGAAGGCGGTTTGGCCCCCGCCGGACGAGCCGGCGTCTGAGTAGCGCCTTCCCGGGGAGCCGCCAGCGGGGCCCCTCCGCCTGCGAGGAACCAGCAGAGGGGTGGGAAGCGCCCCCTCCCCCCGCCGCAGCCTTTAAGGCGCAGGCCGGAGATGCTGCCCGAGCCGCGTCAGCGAGGGACGCCCAGCCTCCGGGGACCTAAGCGGGGTAGCCGCGGTCCTCATCGCCGGAGGCTTCTGCCGCCCTGAGGAAACCAGCCGGGTTCCGCGGAGAGATTCGCCCTGCGCGAGAGGCGCCTGAGCAGCTGTTTCGAATGGCCCGAAGGCCCGGAGGGAAAGGCTGGTTTGGGGAGCCTGGCACGGGGTCCCGACGCCTTTGGCAGCCTCCCGGTCCTCGTAAAAGGCCCGAGGAAGTTGGAAAGGAGGGAAAATAGCAGCAGCCCAAACCACAGTAACGGAGAACAACACAGCCACCCCGCCTAGTGTGCCAGTTTGGAATGAGTTTGTGTAAATGATCCCTCAATGTGCCTGGCTTTGTGGCCAAGAGTGAAGCCTTGCCGCCTGCTTGGTGGGGTTTTGCATTTTCCACAGACCTTCGTCCTGTAACCTGTTTATATTTCTTTATAAGATTATCAAGTGCCTCCATTCTGAAAGCCTTCCTTATAAAGTCCAGTTTGGACAACAGTGGCTGAGATGCAGCAGACAGCTGGGGAAGAAGATGTCATGTGGGTATCCAAGCTTTGTGGGTTAGTTTGTTGTGTGAGGATGGCCATTCGCTAAACGGGCTGATTGCAAAACAAAAACAGGGTCTGCACAGGAACATTTTTGCCGAGGAATAAACCGGACTGGACAGGATTAGAATAGAGTAACCTTCACTAGGCTAAAACAGGACAGATTTCCCAAAGTAGCCACAGCTGGCCCAGTATGAGGTTGTGAGGAGTGTGAGGCAGATTGAGGATTCTTTTCCTCCCACAATTGCAAACTTCCTGATAGTTACATCAGCTGGCTTAACTGCACCTGTGTGGCTGAAAGTGACCAATTCTTTAAAAGTGTGGCATGGATTTTGGGGGCCCGCATAGTGTTAATTCCTGCTGCAAATGTTTAGAGCAGAGGTCCCCAAACTTGGCCACTTTAAGACTTGTGGACTTCAACTCCCAGAATTCTCCCGCCAGCTGTGCCAAGTTTGGGGACCCCTGGTTTAGAGCAGCTGACCCAGAGATTCTGCTGAGGATGAAGCTTTGAGGGACTTGTACCAAATTCTGCCTCATTTGGCAGAGTGGCAAAAAATACTTGGGTTCCTGTGTAAACCTCACTAGTTAAAGGGGACACAGAAATTGGTTTTCTGTTGTAGAGCTACTGCTTGGGTGGCTGAAAAGTATATTGTACTGTTTTCCATAAGGCTCTGTAAGTAGCCTGATACAATTTTGAGTTTCTTAAAAACATCCTGAGAATTTTAGGAAGTTTCAACTAGGCATTTTACTTGTATCCAATCTTTTTTTTTAATACTGTAATTAGCCCAATATCCAGTTGCTCCAGGGATCCCAACAGGTCTGTTTATAAATTACTGTAGTTGAAGTAGTAGAGAAAACCAAGATGATAAGATAGTTCAGAATTAGCCAGAAATAAGCAAATATGGTTGAGTACGATTTATGAGCACAGTTGGGACAAGAATTTCCATTGCTAAGCAAGGCAGTTGGTAAGTGAGTCACACCTAATTTTGCCACCTTTTTTAAAACCACAGTTGTTAAGTGAACCATGTGGTCCTTAAATGAAGGTGGCTTCTATTTGCTTCTGGTGATCACTAGAACACTGCAACTGCCATAAATATATGACAGTTGCCATGTGCCCAAATTTTGATCTCATGACTCTGGGAATGCTGTGAGGTTGTAGGGACCAGTTGTCATTTTTAGGAAGATGGAATCCTAGGGCTGGATGGGACCTTGATCTTAACCCCTGCCCACCTTACTACACGCTGGACAAATGGCTGTCCATTCTTGAAGACCTCCATTGATGGAGCACCCACAGCTCTTGAATGCAGGATGCTTTATTGATTCATTCTTCTCGCCGTCAAGGAACTCCTCCTTAGTTCCAGATTAGATCTCTTTTTTAATGGGCTTCTACCGATTGCTTCTTGTCCTGCTTTGGAGAATAAGAACTCATTCTGCCCCGTGATTGCCCTTCAAGAACTGAAAGGCAGCTATTGGGTCTCCCCTGAGCCTTTTCTTCTTTAAACTAAAACATACCTAGTCATACCCTCAATCGTTCATCACACGGTTTAGTCTCCAGGCCCCTTAACATCTTTGTTGTTGTTATTCTTTGCACTCTTTCTAGAGTTTCACCATCTTTCTGTATCTTGGCGACCAGCACTGGATGCCGTATTCCAAGTATGGCCCCAGTACTGCCAGTATAGGATGGTATTATCGGTTTGTGTGGTTTTGATGCTGTCCTTCTGTTGATGCAGCCTGGGGTTGCCTTGGCTTTTTTAGCAGCTGCAGCACACGGCTGGCTCGTATTTAAGTGATTGTCCTCTAGGGCTCCAAGATCCCTTTCAGTTACTGCTGTTGAGCCAAGTACCGTCTATTCTATTCTGTGTATTTGGTTTTTCCACCTGAGTACAGGACCTTATTTTTGAATTAGGTTGGGTAGGGTTCAAGATTTTTCTGGATCTTAAGCCAATCTTCTAAAGTGTTGGCTATTCCCCCCAATTTGGTATTGGCTGCACATTTCTATCTCCTCATATTATCCCCTCATACTGGATGATACTTTTTCAATATCTCTGTAACTTCAAATTAAATGAAGGGTTTATTGTCAAAACTCTGCAATAGAATGGCCAAACTTTCTTCACAGGCTTCCCAATCGGGCAGCTTTTTGAACCATTAACCAATTCTGGGGGGAAAAAGTGTTCCTGTGTGGTTGCACTAAATTGATGAGAAGTAAATTTGGAGCCCTTTTTAAGCTCATTTTCTGTTGAAAGGTCAATGACCACACTTTTCTTTTAAGGTAAAACTTCTACGGATAGGAGATCTGTGGGCACCAAGAACAACTTAGCTTATATGCCACCTGCACTCCAATAAAATGCAGCGTGTTTAGCTGTATTCACACAACATTAGGCATTTCAGGAATTAGCCAATTGTGTAAACCCGGAAACCTCAACAAGTCAGAGTCAGAAAGAGGATAATAGAATCATAGAATTGGAAGGGACCTGAGATATCATCAAATCAATACCCCTGCGTGCTACACTCTACCCTCCCCAAAACACGTAACCCCAAATATCTTGTGTCAATTGTTAATCAAAACTATTTTGTACAAATCCCAAAACCTGGTCACTTTGTAGTAATGGCTTTGCACTAACTAGCTACAGAGGAGGAAGAAAGTGTAGAGAGGCTGGAAAGAGAAGGGTTCCACTGCAGCAGTTTTTGTCAGCCTTAAAATCTGTCGATTTCATCTCACAGAATTGAACTAGCATGACTGCCTGGGGAATTCTGGGAGTAGAAGTCCACACTTCTTCAAGTTGCCAAAGTTGAGAAACACTGCAGTATAGAACCAACTGCTATACTTTGGTAGCTACTGAAAACACCTTCAAACATTGGGAACTCTTAAGCCTTCCACCTTGCTGCTTTCCAGCCAGGGGGGAAAAGCAGAAATAATGATTGACCCTTCATGAGGGCTGGTGTGATGCTAGGCAGGAAGGAAGAAACAGCTGGCGACTGTATTCAGCCCTGCATTTTGCCAGATCCAGTGGTCAGGCAAGGAGCAATGCCAGGGAAGCTACTGCGATGGATTAATGCTCCCGAGCAGAGCAGGGGAAGAGCGGGGGATGCCAGGGCGAGGGGTGGCCTTGCTTGCCTGAAACCTGAAGAATTGTTTCTAATGGTGGCTGTGTTTCTCAAACTTGACAGCTTTAAGTTCGGAGGACTTGCGCTCCCAGACTTCCCCAGTCAGCATGAAAAGGTCTAATCCCAGAACAGGCTGATTATAATCATCTCCCGCAGTGGAGGATGCAAAAGGAATCCTGGGAGCCTGGCAAGGGAATTCTGGGAGATGAAGTCCACCCACCTTCAAACAGCCAAGGTAGAGGGTGCAGTATTGGGCTCTCACAATTTCATCGTTTAGGTCATTCTTCTCTTGAGAATCCTATAGGCTAGAGCCTTCTTTCCCTTTAGGGGAATCCATAGTTCCGTGCTTTTAGCTAAAGAAGGCTTCTGGGCTTTGGTCCTCAGCATATTCAGGTAAGCCAGGAGGGAGTTGCTGCCTCTTAGTGAGTGAGACATTCAGCGGTCCAGCTCACCCCTTCCGTCTGGCAGGCCATCCCCAATGTCCAAGGGGCCGCCTTTTCCCCAGAGTCTCCACCATCCGATTCGATCTAGCAGATGGGGGCTGCTGCAGATCCCGTCAGTCAAAGGGGGTTGGCTGGTGTGGAACTTCCTTCCCTCGGAGATTAGAAGGGCCCCAACCCTCTTGGCCTGTTGCTCTAACCACCTGGCTGTGTCCCCAAACTCTTGGCATGGTGGGTGCTAAGGGCCCAGCTTCCTGGCTCAACTGTTCACTAGCTAAGCATCTTGGCTAGTTGTTTTTGATGGTTTTTTATTGTCTTTAAAATGCTTTTTATTGATTTAATTGTTTTTGTACTCTTGGGAGTCATTGACTGAGATGGGCAGCTACACAAATGGCTATAGGAAGGAAGGAAGGAAAGGAAGGAAAGGAAGGAAGGAAGGAAGGAAGGAAGGAAGGAAAGAAAGAAATCAGAGTACATCTCTCTGTCCCAAGGTCTGAAAATAGCTTCCTGTTAAAAACATGGCAGCCGCTGTGGGTATGTCAAAACAGCCCCTCTCTGTGCTCTCTTGCAGCATAAAGCTTGCCCGGTTCCAGGATGGAGATTTCTTCCCACCAATCCCACCTCCTGCAGCAGTTAAATGAGCAGCGCCAGCAGGACCTGTTTTGTGACTGCAGCATCGTAGTGGAGGGGAAGGTCTTCAAAGCCCACCGCAACGTCCTCTTTGCCAGCAGTGGCTACTTCAAAATGCTCCTCTCCCAGTGCTCCAAGGAGGCCGGCCAGCCCGCCACCGCCACGTTCCAGGCCTTTTCCCCAGAGACCTTTACAGTGATTCTGGATTTTGTGTATTCAGGCAAACTCTCCCTCACCGGCCAGAACGTGATCGAGGTCATGTCGGCCGCCAGCTTCCTGCAGATGACCGACGTCATCAGCGTCTGCAAGACGTTCATCAAGTCCTCCCTGGACATCAGCGAGAAGGAGAAGGACCGCTATTTCAGCCTCTCGGACAAGGAGGTCAGCTCCAACGGGGTGGAGCGCTTGTGCCTATACAGTGCCGGCTGGAGAGCGGAGTCCAGCCCCCCCCCGTTCCCACCTGAGCCCCGACCGAGGGACCTGCGTGGTCAACAGCAACTCTTGGACAAACTTCAGCTACTATCCACCTGGTCCAAGAGCCACCCAGCCTCTCTCCAAGCACGACCAGAGGCAGGAATCCCTGAGGAAGGGCAGGCATCTGGGGCTGGCCCAGCCTGCGGACGGCCCCCCCTATAAAGCGAACAAGCTGGAAGACCGGGCTTCTGCTGAGCAGGCAGGCCACGCTCCTCCCTCTGAAGAGGAGCTCCAGGTGGACTCGGAAGGGGATTCCTGTCCCGCCAGCTACCAGTACGGGCAGGGCTCAGATGCAGTCGCAAGAGGGCTGGCTGTGCCTCAGCACGAGCACGAAGTGCCCCATTCTGCCAGCAAGTCCAAGTCTTCCAAAGGCGAAGAGCCGTACCCCAGCATGCCCTCCGTCCTGGGGGTCATGGGGAACTGGGCTGAGGGTAAGAGCCTTTGGAGCTGCACTCCCTTCCCTACCCAGGCAGAAGTCCCAGGCTTTTGCAGAAGCTCAGTCGGGGGTGGGGGGGAGATAAAAGAGAGACCTCTGAGTTGTTAGTTCTTGGGCAGGGTCCAGGGGACGCATCGCCATGAATGTTTGCTGAGTGCTGTGCAGGAGTCGGTGGATTTGGGGGACTCAGCTCTTCAGCAGGAGGTTCAACCCAGAGTTCTCTTTTCGCTCTCTTTGCGTAAGGTGGGTGGCCGAGATGTTGGGCCCAGAGGGAAACCCTGGAGATTGTGAGCTGGTGTAGCAACAGGTTAGCCCTCTTGGATAAACCAGACGGGAAATGGGACTACTTTATTCTAAAAGTATATTAAGAGTCTTGCAAGTCTGAAGGCAGAAACTTTGTACTGCTGCTCTTAGCTGCCTGATCCTTTAGGACGGGTCCTTCCTAAGTTTCCTGCTCTGGTGGTTAAGCCGTTGGAATCTCCTCTGGTCCTTCCTTCCCTCAGCAGCATCTCTCTCCTTTCTCCCCAGAGGTCATTCCCAAATACTGTTTTGTACTGCCTGCCCAAGAGAGTTTGCTGCCAGAAGTAGATCCTCCCATGTCCTCCCCCGACGTTATTCGAAAATGCTGTCTGACTGAAACACACAATTCTGCTTTCTTTGATCCTCTGCTCAAGTTGACCAGATGTTGCATCCAGTTGCACAGCAGGGAAATCCATGGAATGTGTATTAACTGCGTTGGTTCTAAAGAGGCTTTTCGTGTCGCTCACATGAGCTATTCACAATTCACAGTTTATTTCATTTAAGAGAAATAAACTCTAGAAATTGTGTTTTCCCCAGCTGAGTGCCCACCAGCTGTCTTGAGCAGCCTAGCTCTTTAGCACGCAGATAGTAGAAATTATAGTCCAGCACACAGCTAGAAGGGATCAGGTAGAGAGAGAAGAATGTGTGAATGGGTTTTTATATCCACTTAAGTAGTCAGTCACATAGTTCCGTTTGCTTGACTAGTCTGACATCATTCAAGGTTGCGATCAGCTTCTCCCTGTAGTCCCCAACTTGAGCAAGTGATTCTGGGCAGCTAACAACTATTTATTTATTGCACCTTTATTATTATTTAATTATATTTACAAATAACACAGTGAACATAATCAGTGTCTCTTCTTCCTATTTCCCCGACAACAACCACCCTGTGAAGTCAGTTGGGCTGAAGGTGACTCTTCGTGCCTAAGGCGGAACAAAAACTCGGGGTCTTCTGCTTTCTAGCATGGTGCCTTAACTACCCCAAATGGCAAAAGAACCACAAAACCTGCAGAATTAAAATTAGAATAGAACAGAGCTGGAAGGGACCTTGGAGATCTTCTAGTCCAGCCCCCTGATCTCAAGCAGGACAACCTATACCATTTCAGACCAGTGACTGTCCAGTCTCTTCTTAGAAACCTCCAGTGATGGAGCAGCCACGAGGCTTCTGGAGACAAGCGGTTCCACTGGTTAATTGTCTTCCCTGTTTGGAAGTTTCTCCTTAATTCCAGGTTGCTTTTCTCCTTGATTAGTTTCCATCCATGGTTTCTTGTCTTGCCATCTGGTGCTTTGGAAAATAAGTTGGGCCCCTCTTTTTGTGGCAGCCTCTCAAATACTGGAAAGCTGCTGTCATGTCCCCCTTTCTTTCCTCTAGACCAGCCAAACCCAAATCCTGCAACCGTTGTTCTTCTTATGTTTTTTTCCCCCAGGCCTTTAATCTTCTTAGTTGCTCTTCTCTGCACTTTTTCCAAAGTTTCAACATCTTTTTTGTAATGTGATGACCAAAATAACTGCTGAGTTTAAAAATGAAAATAAGCCCCATCTCTTGGGAGGCCTCATTTGTTCCCACCTAGAATATTACGAAACTAACTCTTTGGTTTGTATTTTCTTGCTGGTGATTTCTGGGCTCTGGCCTTGTGGCTGTGCCAAAATTGGGCAAGGTAGCGATCCATGCAACAATAGAGCGGAGGAGCTCAAAGGGGAAGGGTTGGACTAATTCCCTGATTGCAGGGAGAGCCTTGGGCAGAAATCACCGGCTGGCTGAGGTTCTTTGGGGTTTTCTCCAATCTCCAAGAAGAAAAAACAAGCTCCCCCTGTGTTTTGCGTATTCCAAGCCTAAACAAACAATTCCTCCCTCCTTCCTGCATATTCATTTCTTGTATTCATACCCACAACCAAAAATAGGTTTCAGAGCGACAAGTTATACAGATGAACCCTGATTACAGTATAACAAAAACCTAAGCATATCATGTTTGGGCCTATCAACAAAGGGGGCAGAAGCAACAGACACCGTTTTCTGCCCAAATCTGTCTCCTTCATTCAACAGTGGAAAAAGGCTTCTGGTGCCAGAGGCCGAATTTGGCCCTGAGAGGGACGGGAACTGGCCTCTGGCATCCAGGGACAAAAGAGGCTTGTGTGAAAAATCTGCTGAGCCTGAAGGACGCGCCTGACTGGAAGAGCGACTCTTGGGGGGATTCTGTGACTGGGCCGGGCTGTTCCAGGTGGTCTCTGACTTGTGACTGTCATTGAGCCCAGAATTACAGTCCTAAGTTTGTCCCAATCATTATGGCTCCCGCCTGATTTTGCAGCCTTTTTTGTAAACACTGCAGTTGTTAAGCAAACCAGTGGTTCAAATTGGTTTTGCCTGAAATGGAAAATAAACACCTGTTTCCAGCAAAAAGGATTGTAAATTGTGACTCTGGGATGCTGCAAACAGCTGTAAATGTGGGCTGGTTGCCCAATGCCCAAAATGCAGTCACAGGCCGGGGATTGGGTGGGGCGGGGCAGTCATCAGAATTTTGAATTTGGGCTGTAAGCAGCCCTGGAGAAGCCTGTCATAACTTTGAAGAGCTGCTAAACAACTAGTCATAAGTTGAGGACCACCTGCAGTTTCCAACAGAATCTGTTGCAAGTCCTCCTTGTTCACTTTAACAAGATTGAGCCAGATGAGCACACAAAGATAAACCACTTTGGGTTCCTCCATTTTGGCAACCTTAACCCAGGTGGACTTCAACTCCCAGAGTTTCTGGCTGGTGAATCCTGGGAATTGAAGTCCGCCTGGGTTAAAAGTTGCCACGGTTGTAAATGCGCCTTCCAAAGCCTTTGGAAGACGAGAACTGCCACTCCGGCCAGTAGGTGTTCATCTTGAAGGTTTTGCCGCTGAAGGGATTATGGCTTTGCATTGCAGACGACCTGCCACGGATGAGGTTCAAGTGCCCCTTCTGCACCCATGTGGTTAAACGGAAAGCAGACCTGAAGCGACACCTTCGCTGCCACACAGGAGAGCGGCCGTATCCGTGCGAAGCCTGCGGGAAAAGATTCAGTCGGCTGGACCACTTGAGCAGCCACTTTCGGACGGTAACCTTACTCTTTTTTTTAATGTTTTGCTTTAAGTTGGTACCTACACACACACACACACACACACACACACACACACACACACACACACACAAACTAGGAATTCTGGGAATTGTAGTGAAACATCTGGAAATGCCAGGTGGGCAAAGCATATGTTCTCAAGGCAAAGTCTGCCTCCTACTGAATTCAAGGGCGCTTCCAGGTCCTTTTCCTGTCAGCCATGTTTTCTGAATTTCCTGTTCACAAATAAAGTGCAGATGTTGGCAACTGCCTCTTTTGGTATCTGCTTGAAGCAAAAAAATAAAGCCCTCCCTATATTAAGTTTTGTTGAAAAGATGAAGTATAAATGAAAAAGCATTTTCCTTCAATATACTTGTATTACTGCGGTTTCTTACCACAACCAAGACCAAATAAACTGAAATGTTACATCAGCTATGAAGATCCCGGAACAAATCTTCACCCAGGCACTGATAAAGCATACCACCTGATAGGCAGACTCATATATCCATTAGGAATCTAAAAGTAAGGAAAATAGTGTTAATACTGTAAATCATGTTTTATTTCACTGTTGCTTTTATTTGTTTCCCATGTTATAAGGAAACTTTTGTAGTAGGTCCACATTTTAAAATGCTATTGTGTCCTCTAATTTTCAAAAAGTCAAGAAGCCGAGATTAGTTAATGTGGGGGGAGAGAGAATCAAATATATTCAAGATGGCAGCCATGATTTTGTGATGTAATCCATTGTACAACACAGGGGCAGGACCCTGCTGGCATAACAGCCGGTTCAGTGAGTGTGCGCTTTGCTTCTGACTGAGCTTGGCATGGTCTGGGCGATAGGAAAAGTGTTCTTGCCGCTAGGCTGCTCGGATGGATGTCTCGAAGCCTGGAAAAGGGAAGAGCGTTTTGCAAAACATGACCAGACCCAAACTTTGCACATTCTTATCAGGGAAGCAAGCAACAACCTCTGGGCTTTTCAAGAGACGCTCTTGGTGAATCCTTGCCCTGATTAACATCGATTAAAGAAGCACTGAAATATAATTCTCCAATTTCCAAGAGTCTATAAACTCCCCTCTATCAATAAACATGGCAAATAAAAAAAATACGAGAATGTAGCATTCTTGGATGTGAATGGCCGGACTGCTGTTCATTTGGCATCTGCCTGTCATTCGCATCAGACAGCCTCCCTCTCTTCGTGGTGAGGTCTTGATCTGACTGGAGGCTTCTGTTGTCGGACAGTGAGGATGAAAGGGGACCAGTCAGGGAGTCTGGAGAGGACTCGGACGAGGGTCCTGCATCCGATGCAGCGATGGGGCCAGGACCATCTGGGAGTGAGGTGCTGCCTTCGGAGCCTCCAGAGCCTCTGGAGTCTGGCAGAAGCAAGGCAGAGGAACAAGGGGAGCCTGTTCCCGGTGCACCTGTGCGCAGAGCTGCTAGAAGGCGAGAGCAGCTGAAGCGGAAAGGGCAACTCAGGAGTAAGGCTGGGAGGTGATAAAAGTCAGACCTCAATGACAAAACCTTTGCAGGAAGCAAAGTCGTTCGATAGATTCCGAGTCCTTCTTGAAGCTCTGGTTGTTTTTTTCTGGTACTTTGGTGGGTTTCTGTTATAATTGGAGACTTCTGTTTGGGGCAGCATTCCACAGCATTGAAAGGCATGTGCTGATCTGGGGGAATTGTTTATCATTAGTTCTGGCTGAGAATGAAACTAATTCCCAGTGTTGCAATAAAATAGGTTTTGCTTTTCAAACAGGGTTGTGTTTAAGTACGTTTGATGAAGTTTGGGTCAGAACAGCTTCTGAGGCTGAGGCAAGATTGGCTTTAGCATTGCAGAGGAGCCTCTGCTCAGCATGAGGGACTTTGGCCAAGAGAAGCTGCTGGCAGAGGATGAGCAGAGAGGCCGGGGGTTGACCGCGAGAGGCCTGGCTTTCCTTCCCACCAAGATGGAATTGGCTTTCCCCAACATGCTAACCAAGTTCTGCAGTGTCTACATTCCAACAGTATGTTAACCCTTTTAACCTGGTGGCTTTCTGAGTGGCTTAGGGTTTTGTGCAAAGCCAAACCTTTCTGGAGTCTATACATTGTGCAGACCCAGAAAATGGGACTAATTGTGTCCTTAGTTTGCATGTTGCGCAGACGCAGCACTTTAAATGATGACTCTTGTGCAGCCTCCCAGGTGTCTTCTGACTAACCATCTTTGACACTTTCTCCAAAAACCAGATCTGATGAACTAGGTGGAATAATCTCATCCATCCATCTGTTGCATTTCTATCCTACCATATTCTCTCTGAGAGCTTAAGATGACTGGTATAAGGACCAGCCTCTCCGCTCTTCATAAAATAAGTATAGACTCTAGAAAAATTTGTATTCAAAAGGAATCTTTCTATTGAAGGGTGGTAAAAGCAAGTCAAAATTCAAAACAGGATCTGAAGTCCCTCAGGGCATGCAACTAGGATAAAGGGAATTAGAAGCCCCTCCCAACAGTCAGATGTAGATTCCACCAATCCACAGGTGTGAAGATGTTAATATACCATCCTCCCTGAGAAAGCAGATAAGGTAGGTTTCCCAGGACTATTTTCTAGCACTGGAATCCACATGGGCCCTTCTCCCCTTGCATCTACCCAAGAGGTGAGAATTTTCCAGACATTTGGGGCACCAGGCAACGGTTATAAATCGTGAAAAAGTTATACAAAAGACACTGTAAGAAATAGGATATTTAGGACAGAGAGAGGAAAACAATTAAATGTATCAAATCCAACACACACACCCCTTCCTTCCATTGAAGAATGGCAGATACATGGATCTGACAAGTGGTCTCAATGTTGCTCTCTGGGATCAGTGATGAAATGAAGACGTAGCTGGCTCTTGATCCTCATGGATATTGCTTAAGCTACAAAAATAATTCTAATAAAATATATCTAAAAACCAACGGGATGGATCGTCCTGTTATATTATGGCCACAATTCCTTATTAATAGTGTGATTGTTCACAGCTATTATGTTGCACAAGTCATTTACAACACTATTATGTTATAGGGTGTTCAAATAGAACTACAGAACATTCATGAATGAAAGCAAATACACTGCTCAAAAAAATAAAGGGAACACAAAAATAAAACATCCTAGATCTGAATGAATGAAATATTCTTATTAAATACTTTGTTCATTACATAGTTGAATGTGCTGACAATAAAATCACACAAAAATAATCAATGGAAATCAAATGTAGCAACCCATGGAGGTCTGGATTTGGAGTTACACTCAAAATTAAAGTGGAAAAAAACACTACAGGCTGATACAACTTTGATGTAATGTCCTTAAAACAAGTCAAAATGAGGCTCAGTAGTATGTGTGGCCTCCAAGTGCCTGTATGACCTCCCTACAACGCCTGGGCATGCTCCTGATGAGGTGGTGGATGGTCTCCTGAGGGATCTCCTTCCACACCTGGACTAAAGCATCATCCAACTCCTGGACAGTCTGTGGTGTAACGTGGCGTTGGTGGATGGAGCGAGACATGATGTCCCCGATATGTTCAATTGGATTCAGGTCTGGGGAACGGGCGGGCCAGTCCATAGCATCAATGCCTTCATCTTGCAGGAACTGCTGACACACTCCAGCCACATGAGGTCTAGCATTGTCATGCATTAGGAGGAACCCAGGGCCAACTGCACCAGCATATGGTCTCACAAGGGGGCTGAGGATCTCATCTCGGTACCTAATGGCAGTCAGGCTACCTCTGGCGAGCACATGGAGGGCTGTGCGGCTCCCTAAAGAAATGCCACCCCATACCATGACTCACCCACTGTCAAATCAGTCATGCTGGAGGATGTTGCAGGCAGCAGAACGTTCTCCACCCTGTCACGTCTGTCACATGTGCTCAGTGTGAACCTGCTTTCATTTGTGAAGAGCACAGGGCGCCAGTGGCGAATTTGCCAATCTTGGTGTTCTCTGGCAAATGCTAAACATCCTGCACGGTGTTGGGCTGTAAGCACAACCCCCACCTGTGGACGTTGGGCCCACCCTCATGCAGTCTGTTTCTGACCGTTTGAGCAGCCACATGCACATTTTTGGCCCACTGGAGGTCATTTTGCAGGGCTCTGGCAATGCTCCTCCTGTCCCTCCTTGCACAAAGGCAGAGGTAGCGGTCCTGATGCTGGGTTGTTGCCCTTCTACGGCCTCCTCCATCTCTCCTGATGTACTGGCCTGTCTCCTGGTAGCACCTCCATGCTCTGGACACTACGCTGACAGGCACAGCAAACCACCTTGCCACAGCTCGCATTGATGTGCCCTCCTGGATGAGCTGCACTACCTGAGCCACTTGTGTGGGTTGTAGACTCCGTCTCATGCTACCACTAGAGTGAAGGCACCGCCAGCATTCAGAAGTGACCAAACCATCAGCCAGAAAGCATAGGAACTGAGAAGTGGTCTGTGGTCACCACCTGCAGAACCACTCCTTTATTGGGGATGTCTTGCTAACTGCCTATGTTTTCTACCTGTTGTCTATTCCATTTGCACAACAGCATGTGAAATGGATTGTCAATCAGTGTTGCTACCTAAGTGGACAGTTTGATTTCACAGAAGTGTGATTAACTTGGAGCTACATTGTGTTGTTTAAGTGTTCCCTTTATTTTTTTGAGTAGTGTATATGTGTCCCAGGATAATATTGCAAGATCCAATCTGGGTCAGTCACCAGGACTGAGTCATCCGGTCACCCAGAGGTTTAGACCTCTGAGCTTTCAGGCTCATATTGGAACCCATCCTCAGAGAAGTTCTCTCTAGCACAGAGATCTCCAGACTTGGCAACTTTGAGACTTGTGGGAGTTGAAGTCCACAAGTCTTAAATTAAGTCATCAAGTTTGAGGGCCCCTGCTCCAGCAGAATGTCTTCTTTGGACTATTCTACTCACGGTGTTTATGGGGTGCCTGGTTGGGTGTGTCTTTGTATTGGTTGATTGAGTGTTGATAGCTGGCCATTAAATGGTTGGTTGGTGTTTCCTTGTGCAGCTGAGTCCTTGGCTCCTAAGTACCTGATAAGCAGGTGGCAAACCAGAACTCTCCTGCTGACTGACAAGAAGCCCATTTCCTAGACTTCAGCGGAACATTGAACAATATATGTGTGATATCACATGCCTCAGTACCTCAGAATTAAATTGATGCCATTAGCCTAACACCCTTTAAAGCTTTAAAGCAGGAATAGCCACAACTCCAGAAGATCCAGAAGGATATTAACAGACTTGAACACTGGGCCATAACTAACAAAATGAAATTCAGTATAGAGAAAAGTAAAGTTTTAGACTTAGGCGAGAAAAATCAAATGTACAGGTACAGATTAGGTGAAACCTGGCTCAATAGCAGTAAATGTGAGAGGGAAATGTAGAGACTTTGAAAAGAGTGCAGAAAAGAGCAACAAAGATCATGGCTAGGGGGTTGAGGTTAAAGCATATGAAGAATGGTTGCAGGAGTTGGATTTGTCCAGCCTAGTGAAAAGAAGGACGAAGGGTGAGGGGACTGTGCTGTTCCAGTATTTGAGGGGCTGCCACAAAGAAGAAGAGGGGATCAACCTGTTTTCCAGAGTACCAGAGGCGAGACAAGAAACAACGGATGGAAACTAATCTCAGCAGCCTAGAACTAAGGATAAATTTCCTAACCGTGAAAACAATGAACCAGTGGAACAGCCGGCCTTCAGAAATCGTGGGCCCTCTTATCACTGGGGACTTTTAGGAAGAGACCAGACAGCCATTTGCCTGGAATGATCTAGAATCCCCTGCTTAAGGAGGGGGTTGGCCTAGAAGACCTCCAGGGTCCCTTCCAAGCCTGTTCTTCGGTTCTGTTGTTTTTCTGAAGAAATATATTTTGCAAAGGGAGGAGTGCACGTGTGGCTGATATAAACAAAATATTTTAACCCAAAAATGGTTTGTGCATGTACTTATTGAAACAAAAAAAATTACTTCAAACTGTCCTTGCATTTTATAACTTTGTTGATATCGCCTTGCATCTTATATACAAAATTGTATATAATTATAAAATTGTACAAGAGATTTATCCTATAATTTATTTGCTTTGCAAGTAATTTGTTTTCACCTCTTCTTTGCTAAAAGAAAAAGAGAGAAAGTCCTTATCCTGAAATGTAGGTTTGCCTTGACTCAATCTTGACTCCTGCTGATGTCATAAACAATTTCATAGAGTTTTCTCCACAGCCACAGAGAAGAGGCTCGGCACCTTTTTTTAACCTCCCATCGTATTCAAACACTAATTATGTCCAGCTCTTACAAACAGACAAAGTCTTTTCTAGCTCAAATTGATTTAACTTAGGTCTAAATTTAACTGAGTCATTCTCTCAGTAAGGAGAGTATTACTTGCTATTGCCACACAATTCTGTTTCCATTTAAGCACTTTCTGGTAATGTCCCCTCCCATTATTGCAGATCCATCAAGCATGCAAGCCCATCTGCAGAAAGTGCAAGCGTCATGTCACCGAAATGACAGGCCAGGTGGTCCAGGAAGGGACAAGGCGCTACAGACTTTGCAACGAGTGCCTCTCTGAAGCTGGGATCGACAGCATCCGCATTGATTTGGACACAGAACCGCCCCCGGAGTTTCCCCTGGAAGAGGACAAAGATTCCAACTGGAATTACAGCGAAGACAATAGATCTGATGTGGAGATTGTGGAGGACGGCTCATCTGATCTGGTTATCCAGCAAGTGGATGATAGCGACGATGAAGCCGAGGAAAAAGATGTGAAGCCCAATATCAGGTAGGTATGAAGGACTGATCCTGAATAGAGCCTCCCCCCTCCTCCTGTTACGTTATATCATTCCTTGTCTTGAGCGTTGACGTCCAGCCTGCCTGCCGGCCAGCCCAGGGTTCAAATGCACTCTGCTCTGAAGGCTTTCCCTGGCTTGGGGTCAACTGCATGCAGTGACGGACATGCCGTTATGTCTCTTCTGAATTTAACTACTCCCAAGTATCCCAAGCCTTCGTTTCAAGATAGCGTGATGTATGAACAATGATTTGCAAATGACAACCATTATAACTTTTGATAATATAAAATTGTCCTTTTAATCCTTTTACAAAATTGGAAGCCCTTCAAAATAAAAGTGAACAACTTCATAGTAATTCAGTTACTGAATTAATTTTTTTGCAAGTATTTAACTACAAACACTAAGATGAAAAGGTTTAGCAGTGTTTCAGCCACGGACAGTAATCTCAGCCCTGTTTTCTTGGAAACACGGTCAGTAGACCCAAAGGAATGTAGTAAGTGGATAACAATTCATAATCCTTCAGCAAGCATGCACCTTCTCCAAACCATCGTTTGTTTATTAAAAACAGTTAAGTTTTCAAAACCAGTTTTTGATTCCCAAATCCATTTTCGGTGAACCCTTTTGGCAGACCTTGCAATTGGTAGAACAACTGACACTTTTCAACACACAGGTGGTAGTGCAGCTCATGAGACATGTGTTCACACATGTTCACTTCCTTGACTTTATGGAAATGTTACACTGCACCAACATGTGGGGTTGTGAAAGGTAATAACTTGTATTTTCTCATTTATCCCAATGCTCTTCGGTGACATACATACGTCATTACGATTACTTCACCTGAATTTACAGGATATGTTTTGCAGTTTCTTTTTTCCAGTTGTGCTTTTGTTTTTCTTTTGTTTTGCTTTTTTTCTCTGTCTTATTGAAGCAATTAAACAGAAAAAAAAACTGATGACCCTTAAGTGGAAGCAGAGATACTAAAAAGCTTAGCTTCATCTTGACAGTGATTGACAGTGGTTTTCAAAGTTTGTGAATCCTTTGAATGTTCAGTATTTCTGCATAATAATTTAAAATGAGATCTGTGCTTTATACAAGTCTTAACACTAGAAAAAGACCATTCAATTAAACAAATCAATCAAAAGCATTATATTTGTTCATTGAGGAAAGTGATCTAAAGCTACCTACTTGTGTGTGGCAAAAGTACAGGAAGCCTCAGGCCGGTCTCTCAATCTTAGCAAATTGAAGTTGTGAGTGTCAACTCCCAGAATTTACCCTGGTTGGGAAACCGGGCCCAGCTCACCTGAAGGGGAAATCAGAGTTGGGTATTTCAACAGTGGGAAGAGGATGAGGTGTGAGGTCCATCTAACTTAACATAATTGATTAAATAAATAAAATATGCTTAAGCAAATTTACTTATTTATATGCTGCCCACCCCACTGTTGCAGTGACTCCGAATGGCTTCTGCATATTCACTGTTAAAGTCTGATCTTCACAAATTGTGAAGATGTGGAAGTATGCTGTATGGAGAATAGATCATGTCTTAAGTCCTATTTCCTCACCTAATGTCTGTTTGAAGTTACCAGGGATGCCCCAAAGGTACTTGGAATCTTGAAGCTCTGGCGGCTGCTCCTCTCCCCACCTTTGCAGTCACATAATCACATTTTGGCCTTTATAATTGTTTGCAGCACCCTGCAGCCACATGACCACAATTGTTGGTGTTTCCTTTGCCAGTTTGGCGGCATTTTCTTCTAGTTTCAAAAAAAAAAAGTCTATTGGATAAAATTGATTCATTTAACAATTGCAGCAGAAAGGGTTATGAAATGAGGCCTGGTCACCCAATGACCCACTTAATGACCACAATGATTTATGACCATAAGTTGGGTCTCCAGTCACTTTTTTCAGTGCCATTGTAACTTTAAATGGTCACTCCACATAAGCAAAGTACCAGCAAAGAAGGGGGAAAAAAACTCCAGAGACGTTTCTGAGACAGGAAGTCTAGTCCTGCCAAGAATGGAATAAGGGTTAACGGAGAGGCAGTTTCTGTAAGCAACACCAGAATGTTTCCTTCCTGCCGCCCTTACAGGATTAGGCCAGTAATTTCCTCTAACAACCGGTTCTCCAAACTGCTTAGAATGTTAATAACCAGTTCTAGCGAATAGGTGCGAACCGGTAGAATCCCACCCCTGCCTGTATGTAGAAATATTGAACGTTCAAAAGGGTTCACACATTTTTTAGCCTCATTGTTTATTTTGGCACCTCAGGGCAAAGGATCTAACCTTCCCCCCACTGTTTGTTATTGGGGGGTCAGGGAGGTTCCTTTCTCCCAAACTGCTCTTTCCAACCTCCGTCTCTCGGCATCTGCTGCTGCTCCGCCAGGATCATCCACTCCAGAGGAACTTAAAAGTTCGCAGCCAGCTGCCAGGAATGGACCTATTTTGAAAGCCCTGTTTTGGGATGGGTGGGTGTGCTAAACAAATGTAGCTGGATCCGTGGTGGGATTCAAAAATTTTTACTACTGGTTCTGTGGGCAGAGCAGGGGAAGGATACTGCAAAATCCCCCTTCCCTCCCCAGCCGCTTTCCAGCTCCGTTCTCGCTGTGCAGGGCAACCAAAGAAGACCCAGCCGATCAGCTGGGACTCAGGAGGCGGGTAATCGATGGGGGCAGGGCCAGTAAATGGTGAGATTTGCTAGTTCTTCGAACTATTCAAAATTTCCACTACCGGTTCTTCAGAACTGGCCAGAACCTTCTGAATACTCATCTCTGACCTGGATCCTTCCAATTGAGCAACCCCTGGAATAGCAGTTGTACTGGGGAAGGATACCCCGAGATCCTGATCTGGTTGCTATTTATTGTAAAACACACACGACTGGCAAAATACCTTTCACTGACACAGGATGGCAAAAAAAAACCACAAGTCCCCCAGGTCGGTGACATTTGTCAAGTGGGCAACTGCAGTGGAAGACTACAGGAAACCACACCTTTGCGCCTCTTGGCTTCTACAACAGTCAAATATTTTGCAGTACTGTTTGTTTATGCAAAGTGAACATGTTTTGAATACATTTAAAATATTTACATCCCATCCTGGTGCCTGATTGTGACCGATCAAAGCAACCATTCCCCAGCTTAGATCCTTCCTATAAGCCAGGGCTGTCAAACTCCCGGCCAGTGGGCCAAATGTGTCACGCATTGGCCACGCCCAAGCCTGGTTTAGCAAAGGGGGGGGGAGTCCCGATACGTCATGTGACGTCACCGTGACGTGAGTTTGACACCTCTGCTATAAAACGTTTCTCAATTTCAGAAAGCTTTAAGGTGCGTGGACTTCAGTTCCCAGAATTCCTCAGTCAGCATGGGAATTCTGGAAGTCCGCATATCTATCTTAAAGTTACCAAGTTTGAAAAACACTAATTGAGCATTTCCCAATTGTCGCAACTTGTAGACAATGGTTTTCAACCTCCAGAATTCACAGCCACAAGGAGGCCGAGTCGCATCCTCTGGCTCTGGCAGTTGAAGTACAGGTAGTCCTCCACTTATGATCACAGTTGCTAAGTGAGACATTTAAGTGAGTTTTGCCCCATTTTACGATCTTTCTTGACACAGTTTTTAAGTGAATCTCTGCAGTTGTCCTGGTAGTAGCGTGGTTGTTAAGTGGCTTCACCGCTGACTTTGTCAGAAGGTCGTAAAAGGGGATCGATGATCCCAGGACACTGCAAAGGCCATAAACATGTCAGTTACCAAGGGTCCGAGTTTTGATAATCTGACAGTGGGAATGCTCCTACGGGTTGCCCTTGGAAGCCGTTTTCCCCTTGGCGCTTCGAGGCCGCCACATTTTGTGCCTGGGAAAGTGGGAGGGGGGATTGCAAGGAGCGGTGAAAGATTAGCCACAACCACACCCCTTTCTCTGGGAGTCAAGGGCGACTGCCCTGCACCTGGAGGGGAGTCACTGCGGGGTAGTCTCCAGTTGGGACGAAGACATGATTGGACCATGGGATGGACTGGTGGGGATGGATTTTGACTCTCTTTTGGGGGGGGGGGGGGGGGGGGGAAACCCGGAACTCTCAGATTTGGGTTTTCCCAGATGTGCCAATATGGCATCTCTAATAAAATAGAACTTTGTTCTTGGAGGTTGTTACTTGGAACGCCGACACAATGGTCGTAAGTGTGAAAAATTGTCATGTCACTTTTTTCAGTGATGCAACTTTCAAGAGTCACTAAATGGACTGTTGTAAGTCAAGGACTACCTGTACCACATCTGCATGTATCAAAGTCACTTTAAAGATAGCTTGACGTAACTGGAGCTTAAATGAATTCATTTCTTATCATTATTTTGTTATGATGAGGCTTTCTGCTAAGCAGATGCTGTAGTAGGGAGCTAAAAGATTATTTAGTATTTCATTTTATTCTGCTTTTATTTTTATAAGAAGGTAGCGAACATACCTAATGCTCCTCCCTCCTCCTATTTTCCCTACAACAATAACAAGTGTTAGGCTAAGAGATGGACTGGCCCAAAGTCCCCCAGCCAACTTTCATGCCTAAGGCAGGATTAGAACGCACCTTCTCCCAGTTTCTAGCCTGGTGCCTCAACATGTCATGCCTGTTGGGGAGTCTGAATCTGAACAGCTGACAGGGAGTGGGAGTGTGGCTCCATCAGCTGTGGAAAAAACCGGGCTGGGCAGAGTAGGGGAGGGCAAAACAAGGGAGAGGGAATTCAGAGGAAGACCCAGGCCCACCCCCTCTTCATCCTAGGGCACGCAGGGAGGAACAGAGAAGAGGACTTGGGGTGCGTGGCTTACGAGGGAGGAAAGGGCCCTGATTCCCTTCATTAGCTGCAGCTGGGAACAGTGTATAAAAAAGACAAGCTGCAGCTGGCAGGCTGTTGGGAGCAAACATGACTTTATCCTGTATTGTCATGGCTTATCTGTGTTCTGAAATTCTTGCTTCTGCCTTGTCAAACTAGTTACTTCAGTTTGGCTTGTTTGGATTTTAAGTTACAGATTGCATTGTTCATGTTTTGGAGGGACAAAGGCTGTTCCTGGGAGTTTTTTTCCCCAGCCAGAAGGTAACCAGGACATTGAGGGCAAAGTTGGAGATAATAAAGGGACCCTTATTGCTTATCTGACTGGGTTGCCTTCATGCCACGCCCCTTTGGGTCATCAGAGAACCACGAGACAGTGGCTTATTACATTCAATCAGTCCACTCTTTGCATTGGTGGGACTAATGGATTCCTGCAACCTCCCTTGCCATCCATGGCACCCCGTCATTGCCCAAAGTTCATGGGCTGTGGGTGCAGCTGACATATGCAGAAACACACAATCCTGGTCATCAACTAGGAAACTCATTTCAGACCATTCACATACCTTTCAGCCACTAGTCTTACCTGTCTGGGAGCCCTCCTCCTGTGGCTGTTGGTATCTTCCAGTCAAATCCAGAAGTGGAATCCCAGACAAGCCCCCCCCCCCCACCATTGGGGTCTGAGCCTGGTGCCAAAGCCAATGAAGACCACCAGATACATGGTGCAGATTTGTTTGCTTTTATTGAAGTGCTCCAAGAGAAGGGGTCCTGGCCAAAAATGCCAAAGAACCTGAAGCAAGCTTCATACAATTTCACTAAAGTATAAGGTGGGATAAATAAGAAATATAATCTAATAAACATTTTAGTAAGGATCTAACAATTGTTCTATTGGTTTCTAGCTGTTCCTATTTCTAAACCTTGCTAATGAACGCTCCAGGAGTTATCTAATATACATTCTATTTGCTGCCGGCCAACCCTATTCCTAACTTCCAGCTGTGGTATGCAGGATATCTAACTTTTGTTACCATTATCAATTCTTTAACCACCCATATTTGATGCAAGTTTTGCAAGGGCATATTCTCCCTGAATAAACATTCTTTGGTCTTGCCAGACAGGCTCCACCATTAAAAGGCTTCCTACTAGCCTTTTTTTAATAGAAAGAATCCAGGCCTGGGAGCACCCGATCCCCAACCTCTTCCGATGGCTGGAGTGGAAATGGGGTGGGGTGTATGCAACTCAGTGACCAGCAGGGTCTCAGCTGCTAAGTGTGTTACCTCTCTTCTGCCAGCCTCCCCCAGGCCAACCTTGACTCACAACCACAATTTATGTTGCTAAGCAAGACGGTTCAGTGAGTTGCACCTGATTTTGCAAGATTTCTTTTGCACGGAGGAGCCTTCAAACGCCTGGAACAAAATCATCTGGGATGAGACCAAAACTGAACATGAGACACAGCCAGACACAAACCCTTGCAGAGGAATCCACGGGGCTTACGGAGACGTAGAACCATCCCTCCAGGAAGCCTGGGGGTGGGTCTCTGCTGCTCCGCAGTGGGGAGATTTGGCAGCAGTCCAAGTCGATGGCAAGAGGAATGCACCATCTGATCAGGAAATATTGGGGGGACAATGTGTGTTCATCAGCTCTGAAGCTGCACACGGGGCCTACCTGGACTTCCCGATAGACACCCCCACCCCTCCCAGAAAGGGCAAGATGACCCTGGACTGGCTTATAGCAGGAGCCCTGGGATGCCTGTCAGTCTCATGGCCTCAGGCATACAGCTCATGCAAGACAACCCAGTTCTGCTCCACAGAGGGAGTCCGCAATATACATCGTTTACGTATTGTTTTACATGAAGACGTTTCTGGGCCCCAGTAAGACTACCGTGGCTCCGATTGTGGTTTAGACACTTGAGGGGTGGTCCTCGAATTGACAACTACAGCAGGGATTGGAATTTGTGTCGTAATAAGTTAATGTGGTTGTAAAGCAAGTCCTCAAATGATTGGACCCAATTTTATG